GATGAACGAGCTACAAACGACGGGATCAGATAGGGACCGGATGGAAGAGCTGGATAAGACCGGATGAACGAGCTACAGAAGACGCGATCAGATAGGGATCGGATGGAAGAGCTGGATAGGACCGGATGAACGAGCTACAAAAGAGGATAAGACCCGAATGAACGGGCTACAGAAGACGCCATCAGATAGGGATCGGATGGAAGAGCTGGATAAGACCGGATGAACGAGCTACAAAAGACGATAAGACCCGAATGAACGGGCTACAAAAGACGGGATCAGATAGGGACCGGATTGAAGAGCTGAATAAGACCGGATGGACGAGCTACAAAAGACGGGATCAGATAGGGACCGGATGGAAGAGCTGGATGAGGCAGGATCTCATAAGACCAGATGTATGACCTGGACAGGACTGACCGGGTGTAATGTAATTTCTCGATCAGACGGTATCACATAGGATTTTGATTGATTTTGTTGTTGCATCGGTGATCCATGTTGGATTCCACAGCCTTTGGCTATGTGGATTGGAGTGTGTTCTGCGGCAAAGCACATAGGTCAACTTGTTCTGCGTGTGTTTCCCTGGCAAGATTTGTAGTCTAGCGAAGTGACCAAATGGGACCCATGGGATGTGGTTTTTTCTTTGCACTTGCACCCAGTCAAAATGGTGTAGTGGATAGTCAACTGAGTCATGTTTCACCAGTTGTTTGGTCACTCGAAATACGTCGCGACGACGAAAGAGGATGAATCGCCGTGGATCTGAATGTTTCACCAGGTTGCTTGAAAGCACACCTGGTAGGGCACAAAGAATGCCTCAGTGAGATGTCTAAGGGCTGCATCTTCGGGCGCAACCAGTGCCATTGAGTGGTTCCCTCAAAACCATCTATAGTGTTTTGTGTCAGGTTCTTCAAATCGCGTGATTTGCTCCCGCTGTGTTCGTTGCAGATTTTACAAGCAAAAACACAAAAAGAACACCACTTAAGGTAGAAAAGGACACGCAAGTTGAAGCACCCGGCTTGAAGATTGTATACTTGGTTTTCCAAGAACCGCTTGTAGTGTTTCTAGGGTTTGAGATAGCGACTTGGCCCGTGAATCCACAGACTTGCTTGCGGTGGTTTTCAGGTCATTCACTACCCTTGGAAGATCTTTTGGCCTATCCAAATGGCACATGTTCGGCGTCCGAAGATCAGAGACCTTCAAAGTCGACGTTCTCGAAGTGGTGTGCAGACAAAATGACCGGCCGGCAGGGTTTTGGTGGTCGGTTGGAGCTTGGAGGAATGGTGGAGAATATATATACTGTATATTCCGTTTCTTCTAGCTCTACACACTTCAATGGAAGTCCTTCCGATTCTGTTCTTTGTTTGCCACCTTCTCTCAGCAGGGAATTGGAAGTGTTCGGTCTTATTTCGGCCAAGCTGGGTTTCGATCATCCGAGCTGTTCTCATGTTCGTTGTGATCGAAGAACGGTTCTTTCAACTCCACCGACGGGGGGACGCCACCGGAGGGGACGACCGACCGAACGCGCCGGAGCCAAGCGGGTCATGCGCCACACGGCGGCGGTTGCCACGGCACAACGTCCAGGACGTGAAGAGTGCCTGTGGCGGGCAGAAGGAGCTCCACTTCCTGCAGCCACTCAGTTGCCCGGACACCTGGATGTGATCCAAGAGGCTTCCAGGTTAGAGCAGACGCTTGGAGTTCCAGACAGCACTTGGCTAGTCATGTTGAAGCCATAACCAAGTCAGGGGTTATGGTCCCCTCCTCAGGGGATATGTCTTATATTCTTTAATTATATGCTACTTTATTTTCTGAAAGATTACCAAGTGACTAGTGCACAGGAACTAGGACAAACTACCAAACCGTGCAGCCGACTGCCGATAGAAGAGTGTTCCTGCACCGCCTGCCTGGCATTGACAGCTTTCTGTGTAGGCAGCGTTCCTGAATGCACCCAGATGACTTCTTGAATCATCGTTCCCCTATATTCCATGGATCCACAAAGTAGTAGTAGTAGTAGTAGTAGTAGTAGTAGTAGGCCCCAAGCATTCTCTACGGACAAAAACCATTTCATCCACACCACCACGACCGGGATCCACACGGCCGGGATCGCGGGATCCCTCACCTCGCGTGCCTCTTCGCCTCTTCGCCTCTTCGTCTCGTCCTCAGGCACCTTGGATGCGAGCACCTTCCAGAAGAACGAAGCTGCCGGGGGACCTCGGGGAGCTCGGGGAGCTGATGGAGCTGATGGAGCTGAGGAGTCGTCTCGCAGGGCTCTGGAGATCGATGCATCGAACCGATATGTCATTCAAGGATGATTCCAGCATCAATGGAGGTCAAGTCGTGTACGAAACACTTCCACCAAAGCGCATGTCGACAATCATACTGAAATTGAAGGCCCCAAATACCTTAGGAGCCATGTCTTATCCCAAATAGCCCTCAAAAGCATCAAAGCATGTCATGACCAGGTCTTCAATGTTGCATCCGTGCACCACGCCTCCAGGGGTCCGACGTCGTTGCCTTTCGCCGCGGTCCTTGGCTCAAAGGATCCTTGGCGCCTGGCCAACCCATCCACCACCGGTCCCTGTAGGAAGAGCAGTGTCTTGGTCGAAGGAAGAAGAACGCTGGTCCTTGACACTGGTCCTTGGCCGGGGAAAGTTCACAACAGGACAACAAACTGATGTGCCAACAAAGAAACAGGCAGGACAAGTTCACCACCCGTACCCGGAGACTGCCTGTCACAGGTGGTGTTTGATCGACAACCAGAAAGTTTGCTGAGCAATATTCTTTGGGGAGTGCTTTGCACTGTCTTGTCTTGTCACAGCTAGATTTGGGTGTTTGCTCATGGCACCTGTCCTGCTGAGAAGTGCCACTCGGTCGAATCGACCGCTGAGAGCGGCGATTGGCTGGGGGGGTGGCAGGAAGAATGTGAGCAGCAAACCTTTTGAGAATGTCAGTTTGCCTTTAGTCTGCATCGGTCCAGCTTGTCCGTCCAGCGGAAGATGCATCGCTCGAGCGCATCTAGCAGGATTGGGGCCAAATGATTGTCCTGGTAATTGTGGATCAGGTAATTGTTTATTTTCCCTATGGGCAAATTCCCTTCTGGAAAAGATTTGTTTACCTTTTCCAGCTTCCTGCGCTGGTGGAATTTGGGTCTTAGTATCGGGATGATCAACACCCACACCAACTGAAGCTGCCTCGTGGACCAAACGTCTCTCAACCTGTTCAGAAAGCCGCGCTTGATTCGGCAACCAGTTCAGAAGCACTGCTCACGACTCACGTAAGCAGAGTTGCCAGAAATGCTGCGATAGAAGGCCATGCTCGATAGAGGGCCTGCGGAGAGGGTGGTGAAAATGGTGTGTCATCAAACCATATATGCCATGGACGTCGTATATGCTTATATAGTGGTTGTTTGGTAGTTGCAGTGCTGCAGTTTTGGGGATGCAAGAAAGCTTTTAATGAACTACTTTGATTTGGTGGGACCCTGTACGAATCTTTGGGGAGGACGGGGTAGGTGCTCTACTCCCAGCGGTATGTTTAAAAGTATTCCGGACACTCTACGCATGGCATGTTTACCATTTGGGGTGGCTTCAGGTGTCCAATGTAGGCCCTATCCTCCAAAGACGCTTAAAAGAGTTCGGTTGCCCTTGTTTTCTAGTTCTAAAAACCTTAGTAAAACAGTAAATGGTTTGTTTGGCAAAGCCCATTAAACCAATGGTCGCAATCCTAGGGGAACTTGACATGCGCTCGTCCTTCACATCGACTCGCCCGCCATAGACTCGCCTTTACGCGTGTCGGGGCTTCGCGTTCGCGTCTCACGCGACCGGCGAGCGAAGGCGGTTCGACCATCGGCGTGTCCATGGGGACGCTGCAGACCTACAATCACCTCATCGGCAGCTGCGGTCGAGCGAGCCATTGGTCCTTAGCCTTGACCTTCTTTGAGGCGTAGTAGCGGTGGCTGCGGGGGGTGGCTGCGGGGTGGCCGGTGGCTGCGGCGGGTACGTGGAAGTCTGTGGTGGATGGTGATGGGATGGTTGGGGTGCAAGTCTTCGTTGTTTTGAGAGACATAGGTCGGCAGTATACAGCTTTACTCAATCTTCCGCTTGAGATACACGTATACACGTACGTCAGTCCGTATATCATATCGTATATATCCCAGGAGTCACAAGACGGGGTGGTGTTTGGTCCCATCCAGTGAGTGGATGTGACCAGGGCACCCCTATCCTCCAAGTTCGGCACCCCGACATGTGACTGCTGGTTCATGTATATATTCAATGGGTAAAAGAACACCATTTATGCCCTTGGTGCCTCGTCCATAGAATGAACCTACGCACCAGTTGGTGTCTTCGACGTCCAATCGAATGTCCAGCCAATGGTTGAAGGGGCAGAATAGCACCTTTCAACTAAACCATTGTCCTGCAGGTATATGGTGCACACCATTCACTGTGAACAGTAGGGTATCTCTTCACTGGTCTTGAGGATGAATGCTTCCCCGTTTGACGCAGATGTGCTCCTGTTCTAGTATCACCAGATTTTACCACCACAAAAAGTACGACCTAGCATCAAAAGGACTGTATTATTACCCCTTATTGAAGTGCAAAAATACATGCAACGATTCCAAGGAGGGGCGAAACTTATCCGACTAAAGAGACGAGAACTGCCCTACTCTCGAACGCCCAATTCACAGGATGTTTCCTCCTCACTGAAGCAGGATGGTTTCCTTCAACCAGGGTCTATAAGATTTGACCATGGCTGCAAAGCTGCTTTGTTATGGCTTCTGGCCCATTTGGCGGGGTGACCACTGGGGTGAAAGACCTGTTGTGTGCGGCACTTTCTGCAGAGGAGCTGCATTGGCGGCGCTTGCACGACGCGCGCAGTGTGGCGGGCATCCTAGCAGCCTGCGAGCCTCTTGGACGGGCGGAATGTAGGGCTCCTGGCCTACCTCCGTTTCGAAGGTGATTGGAGACTATTTATGTAGGCTTGGAGAGCCCACATACCTTCTGAGGAGGTGGTTAGGGTGGGTTTGGAGGGTTTAACCACCTGAGGTAATATAGTTGGAGCCCATATACCTTCGAAGGTAACAGTGGATCCGGAGCATCAACAGCTGCGACCGAACTCCGACACGACTTGCCCGCGACTTGCGACTCTCTCCACGTGTCGCGGGCCTCCAACCTACTAAGGATGGCCTCCACCCTTGTACCCAAGAGCCCTACCCAACAAGTGCTTTGGCGCCAAATCGGCGATCAGATGCGTCAATGGATGAGCACTTGTCACACCGCTGGCCGGGTGTGGGGCTGCACTCCCAAGATTGCTTTGTTCGGACACGCTCAAGGTGGTCCAGGCGTTTGAGGCCAACCCACTTTGTGCCAAGTGGATGACAGTGAGGCGATGGGCTAATGTGCTCACTGGGCGCTTGTTGGTGTAAAGCGAAAGTTTCACGATTCACGAGTCGTGTTGCTTTTGCAAGGCAGCTGACAGCATTGCCACACCAACTGGGGGTTTGCACGGAGGGAAGGCCATGCCACTGGCAATGTTTGATCTTGTTTAATTCACAATATGCAGTGCCAGGTCGTACTTGGCGGTTCACTCAGTGACTTGACAACTGTGCATTTCCGTGTTCATGTTTGCTTGAACATGCTGAATGTGATTGCGACATATTGCGACATATTCTTTCTTCGGGTGTATGATATGTGCATGTGTATCCCGTACTAGCAGTGCTAAGGACACGTTCGGAACAACGAGGGAAGGCCATGTAACCGGCGATGGTCGATGGCCTCCACCCTAGTAGCGATGGCTTCCAACCTAGTAGTGGTGGCCTCCACCCTTGTACCCAAGAGCCCTACCCAACAAGTGCTTTGGTGCCAAATCGGCGATCGTCGCCGTCGTTTGAGCACTTGTCACACCGCTGGCCGGGTGTGGGGCTGCACTCCGAGCATGCACTAGGCTCAGGCGTTTGAGGCCAACCCACTTGTGCCAAGTGGATGACAGTGAGGCGATGGGCTAAGGTGCTCACTGGACGCCTGTTGGTAGCGGGAAGACTGCATGATGTGCGTTTCCCCACCAGCTCGGGGTGCATGGAGGGAAGGCCATGCTGGTAATGCGTGATCCTGATCGTATTCACACATGCAGTGGCAGGTTTTGCTTGGTGCTTTTCATTCAGTCTCTTCACAACTGTGCATCTGAGTGTTCATGTTTGGTTTGATACTACCACAGACTACCCTGGAAAAAGATGCAGAGAGTTAGACTTTTAGCCGTTTAGCCATTTCTTGTTCAATAGCTTGTCTTGATTCCTGCTGCATATGCGTATGATATGTCGCGTCCCATGACACCGTCCCATGAGTCTACGACTCATGCGCGCAGAAGGCATGACGACTTGCTGGTCGTCGCCTTGGCCCACGTCCCATCTAGTCCCATCCGACCCTCCGACCGCGACCCGGTCGAAGGCGGTCGCGCATCGCGCCGGGGACGCGCCGAGGAAGGGCCATCAATGGACCCTGGCGCTGCACTTGTTGAAGGAGCGGACCTTTGTGATTGGCGGACCGTGGTGCGCAGCGAATCCGCGGAGTCTGCGGATGGGCTGGCGGATTGGATCGCTTTGATGTTTGGCCTGGAAGACGTTGTAAAGCATGAACTGGATCATCTGGATCACCAGTGAGGAGGAGGAAGATGTAGGTATTGCCTGGAAGTCTCCAATGCAATGCAGAATAGCGTACATACCATACCTTCTTTGACCTTTTTGGTTGTTGCTGTGGATCAGCAAGCGATAGCAAGCGTATTTGTTCTCATCATCAGTTATCACCTGAGACCTTGAACATGTTCGAGGACGGTCAAAGGTACATTTTGTTTGGTAGTTCTTTCAACCCAGGTGGCACAGTTATGAATCTCGAGTCGATCGAGATCGTTGAGACTACACTTGCTCCAGACTAGACCTATAACTTTATATGGGTACTATATAATGACTATATATACAAAAAAGACTATGAGTCCTAACATGTCCTAACCATCATGAAAGGGCTCAGTCCGGAGCCCAAAACTCCACCTTGGCCGCTCCGTGCCGCCGCGGAGGCCTGGATCCGGGACGCCGATGTGGTGGCCTGGACGGCCACCATCGGTGCCTGTGAGAAGGCCAGTGGCTCGGAGCAGGAGGAGGAGGGGCGGACGAGCATGGAGTGTCGACTCTTGAGCATGACGGGACCCAGAAAGATGAAGAGCTTTCGTCCTTCATCAAATGGGAGGGGTGATGAATAGTTAGGTCCTTATAAGAGTCTACATCACCTGGACGGGATCGTGTGGTGTTGCATCCTTCAGAAAGCCATTCGGCCTCCCATACCGAACCTGAGGTTCTGTGGGACTGGGGTGGGTTTCCAGGGTCCAGATACCTTCTGAGGAGGTACGACTGGAGGTGTAGGGAAATGGAGGTTGTGTTTTGAACGCCTGCTTTTGGGCAGGGGCATGTTCCATTTTCGGGTGTACTTTGATCACTTTGATCAGGCCCGTGGATTTAGAACGCTGTGAACGACCCGATGGCAAGAATGCAATTTTTTAGTATTCTTTGTACAGCTTCCCTAGTCACTGGATCTTTGACATCGTGTCGTTAACATTGTTGGGCGGCGGGGGTGGGTGGGGGGGTTGGGCTAATTTGTCTCATTCATTGTTTCGCATACTTTTTGTCGGCGCATTTTCTTTGCTTGTTGTCACGTCACGATCGATTCTTTCGCTTTCCTTCTCCCTTGGTAAACCTTTTTGTCGTTGACTGTTGGTATCTAGACTCCTTGATCGACTTGTCCACTCGTGCCAAAGTTCCTATGTATCTTATTGGGCCCTTCACATTTGGATCCTCATCGGTATGTGTTAGATGTCGAAGCCGAAGGTTGAAGCAGATCAACGGGTCGTTGTTGGGACAGGTCGTCTTCCATGCCTTCCACCCACCAGGCCGAAGCCGGATTCGGCTGGTACCGTTTGACTCCTTTTTGCAGGGTGGAAAAATGGCCAGTTAGGCCAGAGTTGATACTGCGTAGTAGATCTCCCTCAAGTTCTTTGGAATGGCACTACCAAAGTTAAAGGTCATCCAGGGATGTATCCCTTCGGTGAAGATCCTTGATTTCGTCGCAGTCAGCACCTGTTTTGGAACCTGACGAAGCGTTAATGGGACTACTGTTGACAGACGAATTTGAAGTTTTCGGGCGCCAGCTGGATTGGGCGAAACTGTTCTATCGGCATCTACCGCAGCCGCATATCAGTCTTTGGTGTTGCTCGACAGTCTACTGCAGACAACGGATCTTCGCCTGTCCCGGCGCCACCGTCCGCCCCTCCTGCCTTCGGTCGTTGCCTTCCGCGAAGCCGTTCGGCCACGGCGTCGACCGAGCGAGCGATGAGGTGCATGGGCCGTCGCTCTGGACCTCTTCCAGGACAGTTTTGTTCGCCAGGGACGGGTGTTCACCCAGGTGGATGGAAGGGGTGCGAGGCCAAAAATTATAGTGGTGGCAATCTGTGGCTAAGCGCATTCCATCCGTTGGATGTGAAGAGTTGTTTCGGAGATTTGCACCTTTCTTGAGACGATGCATGGTCTCTGGGTCAGTGAAGGACACCCCTTGGGATAGCTCATCCCTTGCGACGTTTCTTGGAGACGTAGCAGGTTGCTAGGTTTTTTCGTCCCAGCCTGAACCATCGTTCCTTTTGGCATGGCAATCGCTGTAATGACCCGCCACAAGGATTCTTTCTCGTGAAATGGAGGCTAATTGGAGTTGCTTTTGAATATAGGAACCAGCCTTAAAAGCTCTAGACAGCTCAATGTTGAAAGCCTGGGAGCACATGACAGGTTTGCGCCTTAGTGATATCCACCCTCATACGAGGAGTTGCGCCAGCGGCAGTTCCTCCACGGTGCAGATGAGATCCTGTACAACGCGGCGATCAGCGCTTGTGCACAGGGCGAGCAACTCGGATGAGAGGAGTGTCGGTTGTTTGGGTGTATAGCTTCCCTCCAACAAACATGAAAGTAGTATATATTCCAGTCAGCGGTGTCACTTTCATAGTTTGTTGGATAGAGAGGGTATATGGTGGATGTTCAAACTGAATTCGACGTGGGAGTATCCCTGATCTGAAACTGCGTATACCTCTAAGATCCTCTAAGGTTCATGCATTTTAAACTGGCACCGAAAATAACCACAGTCCACTGGGCAAAGAGGGTGTGTTTAAGGTTTAAGCAAGCGTACACAATGTGTGTAATGTGAACTGATCTGTGAAAGAATGGAGAGAGTTGGTCATTTATTGCGTTGTCGCATGTAAATGTGCTCAAGATGTTGGTGTGCTCCAAGTAGAATGTCCTGCATTGAGGGGTGCGCCCTGCAAAGGCTGGAAGATTGAACACTCATGAGTGATAAGGATAAATCATGCTAAATCCCTCTTATCCAACAGCAAGCTGAACAAGGTGATGTTCAATGATTTGCAAGGATTGCAAGATGAACAGTTCCCAGTTTTGGCATCATCATTCCCACTCGCGCCAGAGAAAACGAGGCAATGGCGCTTGGCCTTGAGCTTCCTCGAGGAGATGTGTGAGTTGCAGATCCACCTGCAACTCGGAGATGAACAACTCTGGGAAGGAACTGATCCACCCTTTTCCCTTGAAGATCGTGAAGCAAAAGATCTTAAAAGCATTTCACCATTGATCTTTCATCCCTCCAGATCCTCGGCACGCGAGACTATCGCGCCGCACCGGCAAGATAGATCGGGAGCAACTCAAAGCACCGCCAAAGACGCAGGATGCATGATCCAAAGGACGCCACCATTGACAGCTGGGTCCAGTTTGTATTATTCTAAAAAAGGATCCGACTTTGGTCAGTTAAGTGAATTGCTCAACAATATATTAGTGAGCTCTAACGAGCTCTAACTAGCTTGAACAGTAGCAAGCACTCTTGAAAAAAGGTGCTGCTTTTCAACTCAGGTCCACCATGATCTACACCAGCGCCCTTCACGCCTGCGCCTCGCGCTGGACCGTGGCCCTGCAGCTCTTCGCGCGGCTGCGCGCGACGAGCCACGCGGATCGCGTGGCCTTCGGCGCCATGCTGAGCGCCTGCGACGGCGCCTCTGGCGGTCGGAGCGGACGAGATGGGGAGAGATGGAGGAGGTTCCGGGCATGTGGTTCCGTGGGATACTTCTTCTTCGGCGTGGGAGGGCGTGGGAGGTCTATTCTTGATCCAACTGTTTGTCCACGCATTTAAAACGGCTCCAGTAGGGCCATGGTAGGACATCCCTGCAGTCAGTTTTGTCTATTGTTAAAGACGACGTGGCGTCAGCCTAGCTTGAATGACTGGACAAAAAGTGATAATTTGAAAGGTCAACAACATTGCAGGCTCGTCAACACAGGTCAGCCAAGACCGATCGCCGTTGAAAATCACATCCACAAGGGCGAGTGTTTTCGCCTTTCCTTCCTACATCCATTGACCTGACCTGCGACTGCGTTCCTCACCACCTAAGAGGTGCTTGGGATCCTTTGGGCCCATGCAACCAGGCACTCACACTCACACTCACCCACCCTCACCCTCGCGTTCACGCCCACTCATCCTCCCGTTCACGCCCACTCCTCCGTGCCACCGGCCTCAAAGGCGCTCACTGGCCGCTGGCGCTGCAGCTCTTAGACGAGATCCATGACGCCCAGCTGAAGCCCGATGCCGTGTGTTACAGCGCCGCCATCGCAGCCTGCGACCAAGGCGTTTTGCCGGGTCGAGGGGGTTCTGGGCGCTTCAAGCCTGGTCGACCCCAAAGAAGCCTGGGGGAACACTGGAAGTCTTCTTTTTGGCATACAGCATCGATTGTGTTTGGATAATAAGGTTTGGGTAATAGGTTGCTGGTTTGGGGTAAGTGGGGATACAGCATCGATTGAGTCAGAAGATCTTGGAGGATCACACCTGATCCAACGAGTCCACAACATCACCTCCAGTGGCAAAGCAAAAGGTACCGATCAGGCTTGGGTAATTAGTTGCTGGTGGTGGAATCATTAGGCGTGGAAAATGGAAGTTGTCAAAGGATGTCAAAGGATTATACTAGCTACCTGGACACTCCAAAGTACCTTACAAAATGGGACATGACCGCATAAAAACAAGTACTTGTATCCATTTTTCCGCGGTACTTTGAGACTCCAGGTAGTCAGATGTGATGAGAGAGATATGTATCTTGCCTCCACTGGCTTGTTCACCTCCGACCAAAAAAACAGATGCTATACCCAGTGTGGCATCAACTCGGGAAGCTTACGAACAGGAAGAGGCAAGACTCTCTTTCTGTCTCGAATGGATGACCGTTTTGGATGCCCTTTCAATTGGTCTAAGGTGTTCAGTCCTTTTTATGGCACACAGTCACTGTGACTGTAGATGACGAGTTCATCTAAATGGATTGGGGCCACCCAGAACTTCAATGGAATGTCGGAATGACCACATTAGAGAAGCTCATGAACCACAAAGCTTTGGTACACCCGAGCCGTTTGCTCCGTTGACTCTGTTTCAATCACCTTTGACCGACCCACGTCTGTTCTACCCCGGAAGTAGCTGCCACTCCGGTCCATGCTGGGACCGACCGTTGCCAGGTCAGCAGTGGCAGCTGGCTTTGCAGCTGCTCAGGCAGTCGGAGCCCAACGTGGTGGCCTATAGTGCAGCCGTCAGCGCATGCAGGCAGAAACCAAGCAGCCGCCGGTGCGGCATTGCAGAAAACCTGTAACAGAAATTCGCCGGATGGTGTTGGCAGTCATGTGAAGAACTACGGTTTACACGGTTTTCTGTCAATCTCAGCTGGTGCCAGTGTCGAGCTCTTCTTCCAACTGACAGTAGTTTGCTTGGTCCAATCAACATGGCAGATGTTGACCCCCCTTCCCACTTGCCATTCGTCACGGCATGGAATTCCGTCGCTTTGCATCACCGGAAGTCGTTGGCCAATAGAAACCTTATCGTCGGCGCGAGCATGAGGTGGAGATAGGTGGACCCAGCTTCAGCATTCAGCTCCTCACAAAGTGGAACTGATAATTAGATTGCTGGTTGATGGATTTGGTAGAATTCAATGACAACATCGTTTGCATAACATATATATGCATAACGTATACCGCCCAAATCTTCCTAAACTATGGACAACTCGGATCTTCAGCCACCGATCCAACTTCATCCTCCAGTAACCTGGGCCTTGGACCTGACGGTGTTTCGACAGGAAGAGCGGTCAGTGGCCATGGGCCTTGCACCTCTTGCGCGAGATGCGGCGTTTCGAGCTGGAGTCGAATCTGGTGACCTATAACGCGGCCATCGGCGCATGTGAGGAGTGCGGCCTCTGCAGGGTTCTTGGGGCTTCAAGTGGGGCTGGCTTCTTCAGTGTGCATCGCCCCCCCGGGTTTGGGGTGGTGAATGGATGACTCAGTCCTAAACACCGACACAGAAGCGGGGGCCAAGGTAGTGGGGACATCGGACGCGCTGTGGTGTCTGGATCGGACGTGCTGCACCCTTCGCAGAGTTTGGGCGATATCTGAACTCTAGATCAGTTGGTTTGGAACTGCTCGGTGGGTGGGCTAAGCGTGGTATTTTCAGGTGGGGTATGTTCATGTTCTGGATAGAATTGAAGAGCAGAAGACTGCATCCACGAAGTCACCCAAAAATGACGTGGCAATCTGCTCTTCCTGCCAAATCCACGAATTTGTTTGATAGGACCATCTGCAGATACGATCGACATGAGTTGTCTTTTAGTATTTTCAATAGGTTCCTTTACTGAAAAGGTCTCAAGACGTTGCAACCTTCTTTTGATGCTCTGTCGTCGCTTGGGAACACGGTCGTCGCAGGAACACTGGCGCTTGAGTTTAGATCTTCTATCTGAGCTCGGGCAGGTGCAGCTGGAGGCCGGAGGTGTTCTTCGGCGGGTCTCGTGGACGGAAGAAGACGCCAGTGACACCAATCCCAGACACTCCATGAGACTGCCATATATGCCTACAGTGACCGCCCTGGCACCACCCCAATGTAGGCATATTATATGGTAGTCCCATGGAGTGTCTGGGAATCTGTCTACAAGCTCGTTGCAGGGTGGTTGTCCTTTGCAGAGTGTTTGTCCTTTGCAGACATGACCAGTGGACGAGTCGAACGGATGATGCAGATCAACCAGATCCTCAGGTTCCAAGAGAGGTTGAACAGCCTTATAGCCCATCCCATATGTACCACTACAGGGTCTTATAAGGTCTCTCAACCTCTCTTGGTTCCTTGGTCTTAGAGCCCCAGTCCCACCGAACCGAACAGCGGAGGGGGGCCGGCCGAACGGAGCCCGATCTGCTGGAGCCAGGCAGATCTACTGAGCGTCAGCAGCGCGCTCAATGCCTTGAAGGGATGGTCCAGGGCGCTGCAGCTGCTGCCAGAGACAGGAGCCGAAACGAGACCGTTTCAGACTGTTTCTCTTCGTTTTTCGGATGAAAAGGGTGATTGCTGATGAATGAAAAGGTGTGTTTCTTAGTTGTCCCTGTGTGCTCCATCTTTGGGTGCTCACTGGACCACACTGCTGATACATGGTAATGGACATTAATGGACCAAATCCATTTCACTTCGTTTGGCTTGAGATGACTTTGTTGTTTCTTCTTGGTTGGGTCTCGTTTACGGGAGGGTCACACTCTATTTAGGAATGTTGCCAAGGCAAGCGTTGGGTATATATCATTTCCCTGCAACTCCGTTCGACCATTGTTTTAAATGGTTGATCTGGTTGTGTAGCACAAAGTCCTTAGTCAACCAATGGTTGCCCGGTAAAGACTATCTAAAGAATGGTGCTTCGACTTGCGTCCGATCGCTCCGTTCGTAGCGATGCCAGGAGCCCCGTTCGTAGCGTCCTTGTTCCTAGCGATTTGGTTTCTGATGTTCATGTTATGTTCCAACCACTGCTCCCTGCTCCTGACCGATCGTTGGAGGAGACCCTATCGCCTACAACCCGGTGATCAGTGCGTGCTCACGTGCGCACAGGCAGGGACCATCTTCGGATGGTCAGTGCATCAATGGTCCCTCAAGCCAATCCAACAGGGCTGTCATCCTTCTATGATAATAGCAATGCTTGATTGTCATTGCTCCCATGGATCAACTCGGTTGATGCTTGGTATAAGACCTTTTTGTAAAGAAAAACCCATGAAATTAAACGGTTCACTCAAAGGTTTGTTCCTCCCTGATCGGAACCCTTTCTGCTCCCCGGCGGCACAGCCGGTGCTCGGATCCGTCAGGTGGTCCTTCAGCCTCCACGTGCTCCACGCCCTCCACCGCACGGCCACCGTCGCCAGCCTCGCCGCGGCCGCGGGCCACGGCGGCGGCGGTGCGGGGCCGGTGCTGCTGGGGCGCATGGAGGGCCTCGGCTGCGAGTTGCTGGGACCAGCAGTGGCGCGGGAGAGATACAGCCAGCTCCTATAGCCCTGGTGGACAATGGCCTTCTGCCAATAGCGATGGTCTCGCCCTGCGAGTGTGAGTGTGGTATAGTGCAAGTGCCTAGCACTTCCTGTTTGGGTGCCCTGTGAGGACGTAGGGTGGGGTTGTCCATCCAGGTGACCCGTTGGAAAGCAGCTGGTGGGCGTGCATTTCTACAGGGAGACCAACATAGACTCACCAATGGGTATTGACACTACCAGCTGCGCCACCGTTCGGGGTCACCTGGCTGGATACTTACAGGTCTCCATTGGACACCCCTTGGAAGCGCTAGGTATAGGTCTATTTTTTTGATCCGAACCCAGAAAGTCCGAAAGCCATGTTTCGACCGGTCTCCCGACTCTTGAGCTACGCAAACGCAGAGTTTTTTGTCACGGTAAACATCGTGGTGGTTTTTTTTCCAAGGAGACTTATCAAGGAACCAGAGGCAGATGGCAGATGAGTTCGCTTTGAGATCCATCATAGTCACGGAGGGAACCAAGTTTCTTTTTTGAAAGATGTTTTTCATGGGTTTCTCGCCTTGGCGTGGAATGGAAATGAGGTGAACTGTAAGGTGGACGGTCTTGTTCCAGTTGACTCAATCTCAAAAACAATCGAACGAGGTCAACTGAAGGCTTGACATACAAATCATCCCTGACCTACAAGAATCAAATCACCCAGTGAAAAGAGAGTGGTAGGGTTTACCCATACCAAAGTGATCCTTAATCCGCGAAGGACAGTGACCAGCCGAAGAAGACGTGACCAGCTATGTCTGACCTACACGGTCTGAAGGTCTGAGGCGCTGACTGACGCTATCACCGTTACACCTCCGTTGTCGTACCGAACCTCAACGGTCTCGGTATGACGACCGACCCAACTGGCCCCGGTCGTCCCACCGAACCGGTTCGCGGGTTCAGTGACCAGAAATCGACTCACGTGGCGTGGAGACGAGACTGGGGAGACTGGTCAGACCGTCGCGATAGTGAATTGGGGCGAGAAGAAAGAGGATATTGATCCGTGGAAATTCTTGACTCCATGCAAGTTTCTCCAAAGTGATGTGTTTTTTTCTGTGCAGTTCGTTGTCCGCGTGTTTGGCATGAAACGCGCTCTGAGGTTACTCAATGCCATGCTGAAGCCTTAGTTGCAGCATGCTGCCGGTGGAAACGTCCGTTCGAGGCACGATGGGACCGAAGCGCTGTTCGTTTTTCAGAGGCGCTGTCTTGAAAAGATATGGTGTTTCACCTAGCAAAGACGATGTTGTGTGTTTTGTTTAAAGTGAAACGTCTCTTTTGTTCACCTTTGATGAATCCCCTTCAAGGAAACTATATACATAGGATCGGTGCTATTGTTGAATAGGTTTCAAAGTGTTCCTTCCAAGAAGTGATGAATTCGAGTGAAAGTCATTCTCGGCATGCTCACATGTCTTGCTTTCAACCAGACCCTGCCGTCTTTGGATTGGAAAACAGTATTGCTTCTTGTATGTAGACATCAAAGCAGCAAGATTCAAGCACAACATCACTCATCACACAACGTGAGGTGTGTTGTTCTTCGGGTTTGCTTTTCACGCTGCTCAGGTTCACGACACAGCAGCACCGAACGAACCTTTGCAGATCCGACGAGGAGCTCCGAACGAGGGAGCGGGAGTGACAAGACCCCGACGAGGATCGGGCTCGGCGAGTTCGAACGAGGACGAGGACGGTTCAGCAGCAGCAGTGGCGAGTATCGCCTTGGAGTTGGAAAAGGACGCAGTGGTCGAATGCCGAGTCCGTTCAAGCAATGCCGAGTCCGCGCACGGTCGGTGTTGGAACATGGTGCCCCAGAAGCCAAATCTTGGAGATTTGCGGAACTTTGTCCACAGATTTCGAAGACTTCGGTTGTGACTCCTGGCTGAGTTTGCATAGTGGCATAGAGCTTACGCTTTTCTTGTCTTACCTCATCTTGGAGATATGCTTTTCTGAATCACATTATAGAGAGTTGGCTCAATATTTTGTTGGGTAGTGACCACGACCTGATGTTCGGTTTGTGAAGTTGTCCTAATTGCTCCTTTGAGTTTCACGTCCACAATGTGTGTTAACACCTCGCCCCTTCCCCTGATGCAAGGAGAGAGCCGTTCACTGGTGGAATAGCACAGCGGTATGGTGTCGTACCAGACCATTCGTTGGACTTACGAGCTTCGGCTCGTTCGACCTCCAAATTCGTTCATTTGGAAGCCATTCTTGCTGTGGTCTTCGCCCAAAACAAGTCCACTGACGTCAAGGCTGTGGTCTTCGCCCCAAAAAAAAAACGCGCGCCGCACCGTCACCGGGCGGGCCTCGTCTTGGGGCGCGCAGCGTCCACGGTCGGCCCGGGGACCGCGGGCGGCGCCGAAGGCGCCTTCGGATCGATCCACAGGCAGCGGAGGAAGAAGCGGATGCGCGCGGTACAACTGTCACCACAGTCACAGTCTGTCACAACACCGAACGATGCTGCGAACTCGTTTGGGCCAACCGGTCTGGGAGGGATCGAAGGAACGGACCGGAGTGGAGACACCGGTCTGAAACCGGGACCGGACGGAGGGTGGTGCGCCGTTTTCGTGAAACGAGAATGGTGGGTGGTGGTGATGGGTTTAGGGTGATGTGGTGATGGTGATCGCCCCCCTATCAGCTGGGTGTACGTACCGCATCGTTGTGACTCTTGTGACTGACTACTTCTGGAAGATTCTGGAAGCTTGAGCGATTTGATTTGAAAGAAAGGTCCAGTCTGACATTGACAAACATGTTTGCTTTTGTTCTGTTTCACCCGCCCGAGATGGTTTCTTGGGCGGGTGCCTGCGCAGTTTTCGATTGAAAGGACCGTGGTCATCGGACTTGTGGACCGATGTGCTCAAGTGCTCTGCAGTGAAAAACCGCTGCGAAGGAGGAAACGCATTTTGTCCG